GGGGGGGGGGGGGGGGGGGGGGGGAGCGATTTAACACGAGCTGATATTAAAAAAAAAATATTTTCTATTAATCGGACAAGTTTTCAAGTTACGGATTTGAATTTTCAATAGACAGAAAAGGTCAGAGGTTACAAGTTCTCCTATCGAGTCTGGATTCCCTTACCGAGAGTGACGCGTTTGTCACTAAGCAACTAACGCGGTTGTAGTCGCGTGGCCTTCAGAAGGTAACTTACATTAGGCTGCGTTCCGAAATTCACTGTCCCCGTTGATCTGTAAGCAATAGAACGAGACACACCCGCCTCATAGCGTTTTCGGCGGATAAATCGAAACGTGCCTTTACTCACGCCTCGATAGCACGACGATACTTCTGAAAGCCGTTGCAATCTTTTATTCGTCAGACTTCTTGAAGGTTAACAAACTTTTTCGCGAGCGTCAAAACTTTGACGAATGGATCGAGCATTTGGGTTGCTCTCAGCTGGAGACTTTGCAGAAGGATAGGAAATATTTATATTTCGTGATAAAAGCTTGATCGCGAAAAAAAGATATCAAGAGACCCAGCCCCCATTTTCGTCTTACATAAGTATCGTTGTTGATTGTTGTTGTTGTTGTTGTTGTTGTTGTTGTTGTTGTTGTTGTTGTTGTTGTTTTGTTTTTTTCTTCTTATACATGTATAAGGTTAAAATAATTTATATGCTGCTGCGCACCTGCTTGGCGAATTCTTTTATACTTACGTATCTCTTGGGAATTGAGTGAGCAGGGAAGACAGCGAAGACGAAGGCTGATTGTTGCTTTGGAGAGAGGATAAAGTTGCTTGTTCACTTTCAGCAGACAACGGAAGGAAATAACGTTTAAGAGGGAACGGAAGGAAACGACAAGAAAAAAGATCCGGTAAAAGGGAAGCGGGTGAAACGACGAGGAGGATTCTAAGAGGAGAAACGTAAAAAAAGATTTGACCAGCGATAAGGCATTTATATTGCGCGGTGCGTTGACTGATAATTGATGTCACAACGTGAGGAAATTAAATTGAAATTCTTATATTAAATCAATTAAATAAAAATGTATCATCAGTCTTGAATTTGAGAATGAATTCATGGCAATGAACGATACGGATGGGTTAAATCTACGAGTCACGTAGTAGGTCGCCATTCTTATTCCTCCCGCGAGTCTCATGGATGCTAGGAACTTTGAAACTGATGTATTTCTTCTCTAGTAAGAACGTAAGTTACATGGAATGATGATGGCTGTCGTCATCCATTCGTTCTTCGTGTTGAGAAAACGTCTCTGAAAGTGGAGTAACGACATTTTTTAAAAACTTCTCACGCTAACTTGAACGTTGGTTTTTGCACGTCTGCTTATTCGCGAAGAGTCGCGGAGGAAAGTCGAAGATTTCGGTTAGCACGTGAAACATATGATATTCGTACATGATTGTGTAACGTCGTAATTATGGTTTGTAGAATTACACTAAGCTTTACGAGGACATTTAAGGATTTATAATATTTTGGTAATGCACGACTGCCGGCACTCTTCTCGTGTCTGAGAAAGGAAGCGAATACTGTCATCTACGAAAATGATAGCTTCGAGAAGTCGCGCGATCGAGATCATTGTAAAAAAATTTTTTTTCGAAATTTTTTGTTGCAGAATTTATCTAGAACTATAGTCGAAAACTGTAGAATTCTGTCGGGAAAAAATTGTAAACTGATTTGCTACGTGAACTTAGCAGATCGTTTTATGAAATTTCGGGTTTTCCTAATAAATGATCCAAAATGTTGTTGAAACTTATCAAGAACTATGGAACTAGACTGGATGCTAATAGAAATTTAATTTCATTTTTGATTTGTTGGGATCTGATATGCCAGCTTCGCACAGTGGTGATGAGGAAGAGATGCTGCACTGTGAGATAAGGCGTGTTGCGACTGCGCAATAAAAGTCCGAAGAAAGGCGAAAAGATATCAGATTATTCCGAGTCCCGAAGGCACTCGTCTTGTTTCCATAGAAGATCCTTGAATCGCGTTGGCTTTCCTGAGATTTTGCATTTCGGAGAACAAGATAAATGCTTCCTGAGAGTCGATCGCTGATAGCTATCCTTTTGTCTGATTCCAGGAAAAGAAGAACGCCCGCCGAAAGACGTTCAGCAGGAATAAAAATAGGGAGATAAAGAAGCAGGAGACTTAGTACCGGGACAAATGGTGTCCTCGGCCGTTCTGGGAGCTGCTGCTGGGACTGGATTAGCATTGGTGGTCGCAATGACTATTGTGGTTTATCGGTATTACGCTGTCAAACGTAAAGGCAAATATTGGAGTACTTTGGATCGTTGGCCAGACCCACCGACCACCAGGAATACTCATCAGGAGAGACACAGTCCTCATCGATATCATCATTGTCACACGGCACCGGTCAGTCACGCGTTGGATTGCTGGCGGAAACCAAATCAAAGCTATTACGCCGTGCAGACTGCGGTTAGTATAATTGCTATTTCATTCTAAACGTTGACAATTCTATTATTAGCCTACTATCTGTTTTTGAACGATTGCGCGTTCGATATCCTGTCCTCAAGTTACGCAACTGGATAATCAATATAAACTTCCGTGGTAGACACAGAATTTGAGGTTATCTTTACAGCATAGACCGTCGGTAATGCAGTTTGGCGCTTGATACTCTTTACCGACATTGAAAGCTCCATTGCGTCGGTAACGTAGAAATCTTCAAGTTATAGACCATCTATGGGAACAGACTAAGTTGTTCATAGCAATCAGCGGTAATGGATTATTTATCTTTTGCCGACTGATAGGAAATTTTCAAACTATACTACCAAAAAGAGAATTCGTAATCGTTTATATGATGGTAAAGCAACATAACATGTACGATCACAATACCTATTTTCTTCCTGAAAAGTAGAGCAACGGCTTATCTTCAATTGTAAAAATATACATTAGTTTATCTCATGACAAATGGAAATTCTATCGTGAATAAATAACGGGAAAAAGGGTCTTACGGTGAACATCTATGATTTGTTCTCTGAAATAACTTAATAGACATATGGAAATGTTGAATTGAAATTGATAGAATACTTTGTCCCAAGAAACAGATATCTTTTTCACTTATTTCAATACTTGGTGAAGAATATACGAAGTCTTCGGTACCTACATGGTGTGTCTATGGAATCTGGATTCGAATCGATACAGCGCTTTAAAATGACCCATAGCTATTGCAGTTTCCAATACAGTATGTACTGGGTGTTACGGAAAAAGTGTGTGCGCTTTAATTTACATTAAAAAAAAAAACCTTAATTGTTAATAAGAATATATGTAATATTTTCTTCTTTTATCCATTTGAATATGAAGTTGAATAACATTCAAAAATATAATTGAGAATTGCACAGTCTGACGCAAAGAATTATTCTACGTCATTTGGCAAATTGTACAAATATGAAAGAGACTTTACAGTCCTGGTGAATTTATTTCTGTCGGTACATCTGGTACTAATGCTGTCTGACTAAACTGTTGCTGTTTTCACTGCAGAGACTGTACGATAAATATTCGTACTGCTGACTGAGTCACCTGAGATCATGCGACGAAAACCAAAAGAATATTGAGAAAGTACCCTAAAAAAAAAAGCATACATATATGATCATTTACTTATTGGTATTTCCAGTGGAAAGCAGATGAATGACGAGGTCAGTGCAGGATGAAGTTGGACGACTAGAAAAAAGAAGAAAAAAAGTTATTCACGTAACAGAGACGAGAAAGAAGCAAGAGACGGAAAATAAGACGATGCGCTATATCAATATGCGCCAGTCAGTACTATCTATAAAGTACAACTGGTATCAATTGAAAAGGTGGAGACCTTAGAAATGGAAGGAAAAGGACTTCCGTTATTTACTTCTAGAAACGTGTTATCCAAGAAGGACACCTTTTCAGCAATATACAGCGGACAGTTGGAAAGCGTCTTTGGAGTTGGACTAAGAAGAAAGAAAAATGTTTAATGGAATTTTCGCAAGTTGACTCAAATCGTACGAGTCGAATTTCAGTATTTTCCATATGTCATCTCTGTAAATATTAACAATGATCGAACGTAAGAAAAAACAGTTTCTTCGTTGAAAGTAATAACAATAAGTTCGATAAGCACGACGATTTCCATGTCGCCTCTGGCAATGATCTTCGATCGCGTTAGGCGAGCGAATGCAAAACGAAAGGAAATACCAAATTACAATGCTAAAGGGTGAGATAATCAGTTGCAAATGTCCAATAGGGTCTACGTAACCACAGGGAGTTGGCTCGTAGAAGGGACCCCAGTGCTGGCTAAATAGTCGAATAAAATTCGTATTTTACGTCGTGCGTAGTACGGTGTCGAAGCGCCAGAGATTTAGTATTGCCGTAGAATGAGAAAAAGAAGGAGAGAGAGAGAGAGAGAGAGAGAGAGAGAGAGAGAGAGAGAGAAACAGAGGAGCTCAAAAGATGGATCTAACCCTAAGAGCAAGGCACAAGCCAAGCGAGGAAACACCCGTTCTACAAGGATAGGATCAGTAGAAAGGCTCAGTCCTAGAGGAAGAGGGAAGACACAAGGGGAGCTGAAGAAGACGAGAGGAGAAGAGACAGGAGAAAGGGGCAGAAATAATATAAGAGAGAGAGAGAGAGAGAGAGAGAGTGTGTCTAACCTGTTGCGGCGCACGCACAGCCCTTTCTCTCGCTTTCTTTCTTTATTATCTCTCTCTCTCTCTCTCTCTCTCTCTCTCTCTCTCTCTCTCTCTCTCATTCCTCCCCTCGTTGACCCGTTCTCACTCTTTCTCTCTCTTTCGCACGCTCACTCTCTTCGCGTACAACCCCCCCGCCCCGCCGACTCCTCCCTTATCGCGAGGTTTGCCTTCTCCCCATCTCTTCACGCACCTACCCACCCACCGGCAGTCTCTTGCCGAGTTCTCTCCGGGTCAGACACAGTCAGACGGAACGCAACGAGTCCCCATATAATGCTTTTCGATGGGATTTTGCAAATCCGAATAAAAAGTGACCGCATAATTATTCGCCTTTCGTATCTCTAATAAAAAACATTGTAATTTCCTAGTGAAACGTGTGAGGGTGAATAAAATACGGCAGAGTGGAGAGACGCAGCGATCATCCCTGTTCTCCAACCGATGAGCTCGCGCCTGGCTGAAGATTCAGTTCCCAGGAGAAAGTGCAGCGATCATTGATGTGTCGATAATACAGGAACCTGCGGTAGTCGGTCTAAAAGTTTTAATAATCGTTAATCAATCATTGTATCTAATAACAACCGCCTTACCTCACCTCAGGTCGCATTACGTGACACCTAGTAGGCCGGGTGTCCACGGAGCACTGGAACCACCAGGACGACGTAGATGCTGATCTTAGGATCGTTGAGACTCTAACTTTTAATGCAATCAACTGGTCCTGTCGAAACTCAGGAATTACTCAGGAATTGCTCGGATTCTTGCAACGACGTCGTTACTATTGGACGAACCAGTGCGAGGAAGACGGTGGTTCGATCGCGTCGAGACGTCCAAAGGATGAACCAGTAAAGGAGGTGTCGAATAATAACAGATCGGTTTGGCGATAACAAGAAGACCAGAGATTACGAGGCTCTAGATAATTCGAGAACGACGTGCCAGTGCTTCCTGAGTCTTTTATTCGCTCTCCTGACTCTCTTCAGGTGGACTTTCCCGTGTCCACCCATGAGGACGCGTTTACGGACGTTAAAATAAGAAGGCACGTATAAAAGGGTGGACCTCCGAGGGACGTCTCGGGAGGCTGCATGACCTTCGGCAAACTGCAGGATCATCTAGGGTCGAAGCTCCCGACGGAATTCTGAAGAATTAACTTGACCTCGAGGTTGACTGTAGCTTCGCATAGGTGTAAATAGAAAGGAAGTCGTATTTTATTCAACGAGCAAAAGAAAAAAAAGGTCGATCCTCCACTCGGCTGTTATTAACGATAAAAAAATCCCCAATAAGAGCGAGCTAAGGATTTTTTATTTTTTTTTCCCATCGCGTCGAGAACGTCGTGTCTTTTGTTATTTACATTATTTTTCGTCTCTTTCACTTGGTTCCCACTGTACGGCATTGTTTTCGGTATAAAGAGGGAGGATCCGTCCGGTAGACGATTTAGCTATCTTTTTTTTTTAATTCTCAAACTTTTAACCTCTGGTCCGCATCAACGGTGGTCTTGGACGCATTCGTCAAGGTGCCGGACAAATTGTCCGAAGTTTTTGGGGATTTTTTGGAGCTAGCATGCGGTGGCGCGAGCGGCGGGGGGATGGGGACTGATAAAACAACCACGAGTACTGGCACTAGCACTGTTAGCAAAATCGGAGTTGTTACCGGGGTGGCTATTATCAGGGGCAAATGGGCACAGAGGGGTAGTCGATCACCATTGTGCTCCGTTACCACCACTGATAGTGCCGACAGTACTCTTTCTACGGCAAGCTCCGAGGTATGTAATCACTAGTCAAAGAAATAATCATTAATTAATTAATTTAAAAAATTCAGCTCCTTCACAACGAACCTGTGATCTACCACGATGATCATTGATCCATCAGCTTCTATTCTGTCCATGGACAATTTCATCGTACCTTGGGTATAGGTCATTCCAGAAAAATATACCCAGTCACTTATCTAATCATTTAAATATTACGAAGTAATAGGTAAAGTGGACTTATGTAAATTTCATATATTTTTACCCGAAAATTCATCTTTTCAGGACTGAAATCTTTAGGAAGAATCTTTTCACGCCAAGTCCAGGGCACACTTGTTGCTCTGACCTTAACGCCTTACTACGTCTTGAGATTGCACGGAAGTTCTGTATGCTCTAACCTAACCTAACTGATTTATTCAAGCGCTGTCGTGTGACAGATGGATTTTCATGAAATATCATCAATGGTCAATCAAGTAATCTTCGATAATTATTTATAATTTTTCAATATTTTTTTAACTGTCTAATTATTTTATTAACAATACATCGCTTATCAGTTATAGCTTGGTGGTATACTCTTATCGAAGAGCCCTGATGGACACGCCTGAAATATGGCGGCGTTATATCTGACACTTGATGACGCAAATGCAATTTAATCCGTGTACCAGTGAACTGAGAGACATATTAATGTCACTGCTATAAATTCATAATCTCAATTATAGTCTACCTGCCAATATCCATAAGCCCTGGTTCATTGAGGTTCATTAATTTTACCACCTGAATGGCAACTAGTCTAAATTCAAGTAACATCCTAACCTAACCTAACCTAACCTCAAATTTCTGATATATAAGTTAAAAAATTGTTTTTCGATCAAGCAAACAAGTACTGATAATCAATTGCCAGAGCATGCGCTCTATAGTCGAACTTCACTGGATCCTATTGGAAGAACGTTCTAACGGACTTCTCGCGAAGCCTCCAACAATTAAGTGTGATTAACCAGACGAATGGTCCATTTAATTCAGTGCATCCTTGACCAGTCTTTAATTAATTGTCTGCTGTTGAGGTATCACGATGATGGTAATCGATAAGAATAAAAATATCGATCATCAAGAAGTTTGAAATGTTTTATAATCAGTGACAAGGGATGGAAAAACTTTTTTTTCTATTTTTTTTCTATTTCAAAATTTCAAACTACAAAAATTGTTTGCGTTATATGTACAATTTGTTCTTCGTTTATTATTTTCATAAGCGTAGCAGAAATTTGTTGCATAAGAGCCCAAGAGCTAATCGGAAGTGGCTAAATGGATTGAATCTCAATGCGTCATAAATCACAGCAGGTTGTCAGATATTTTGTCAAAAGTTTCATAAATTACTGTATCAAAATTATGCGTTAAGAAAATTCCATTTTGTGAGACAGAAACGCGATGGTCCAAAAATTGATTGATTACGTCATATCGCATGTTTATTAGAAAAAAATAATATTCTCATGAATTCAAACGCTCGATCGTCACAGAAATTATTGATCGATCATCGATATCAATCAGGCAGCAAATAGTAACAGGTAGACTAGGCAGACTAGATACATATATTTTCGTTATTCAAACAATCACAATTTAATAGCGCCACCAAGACTTTATTTATATTCGCGAGAATCGACTCCATGTCCGTGACAATACTAATTTGCGAAAAAAATGTTTTTTTTTCTATCATTACAAGAATGTTAAATTTTAATCCTTGGCAAGGAACTTCTCGTGTTACCTCGGAATTTCTCTAGCAGAAATTTTCTCCCGAACAAACACGAAATTCACTCATGCGAATACATACATATGCGTAGAATGCCCAAGAGGATAACACAGAGTCCGCCATACTATAAATACAATACGCATGGCAAAATATTCACTGGGTCCAATATCAAAATAACTAAAATTCAGGAAATTGAACATTTCCATGATTAATCGAGCGATTGCGTAATACAGCTCTAATCCCATAATTAATCGACAATAGTACGATATACCATCGAGCAATTAATACACATACCATACGTACAATAAAACATAAATATATATATATATATATATAAACATTTATTTCTTTCAGGAAGACACGATGCAACTCTTATCGAGAAAATATCTTAATCTCAATGAAATAGATTAGCGTCACTCGACTTCGTTTAACGCTCCCAATGAGGAAGAAGAAAAATAATTTTCTTTTACAATGACAACAATGAACATAATGGGGGCCATTGTTTAATAATGAACGGACAGTCGAGCCAAGACAACTTGTTGACGCGGAGTCCTGCTAAGGGATGAAAAAACGAAGTCCCTCCCGACGGGATCTGGAAGCTCTGATATTTGAGATTGGTAGCTGAAACCGTCGATGGTTGAAGTGTACGGGCGAAGAGGGTAAAGTAAGGGAGGGCGAATGGTGGCGGTGGGGGGGGGAGAGGGGAGGTAAATGCGTGCTTGATGCCTTGGAGTTTACCTTCCCACCCTCCTCCTACCCCTTCTCCATCGCTGAGCCAGCAGGCCCCATAGGTTCTCCGTACTCTATATCAACCACCAACGACCCCCCTCTTCGGCCTCCGCCAATTTCCACGGCATGGCATGGAGTATCGACCCACGAGCCGTCGGGAACAGCAGCAGCCACCCCCACTACCAGCCCCCCCTCTCTCCCTCCCGGCCCCCCTGCTCGAATCACACTC